GTGGCCTAGCAAGCGGCCTGGGGAAATGCACCAGGAGACTGATTTAACATGCGCTTTCACCGCGCAACACGTTCCCAACTTGCCTTCGGCCAGCTCACCTGAGGCATCACAGATTGGCGGATTGCAATGGACAGCCCCTTGTGACGCGTGAACCAGTTTACTGTCTTTCAATCCTGCATCTGCATCCAAGGAGCTCAACTGTATTGAACCATCCATGTTTTTGTCGAAGCCTAAGAAGGCAGGCAAGCAGGCTCGGCACAGCTTCCCACCAGGCAGTGAAAGCTAAGTAGCTGTTGAAAATCACTCGCCCCACTTTCTCGGTGAGGCATTTCTTCCGGTTGAAGGTTGCAGCAACAAACTCCGTGAAAGAGAAGTCCTGAGTTGCTAATGCAACATTTCTCAGACTGGTGGCGGCATCAACTCTGTGGGTTGCTGTCACCGCCATTCCGTCTGTCGATTGTAGCAGTGGCAGTGGGTGTTGGGCGACAAGGCAGAGCGATGGAAAAGACGGGACAAGCTGAAGCAAGGGTGCAAGAGTGGCAGCAAACCCTCAGCGGCTGCACCAGGAATCGTGGCAAAAACACCAAAGTCAAAATGTATCATGGACTGCAACAGCGAGTGTTCAACGAGCCAGTCCTGGATGCCATCCACTACACCATCAGCTTGAAATATTTTGATCGCATCTTTCTTTTTCAGTGACTGCAACGTGGCAAGAGCTCTTTGTCAAGCATAGCAAACTATTGACACCAGCCTTGGTGCCTTTGCCAGATGCTGCCGCGGCCTGCTTTTAGGTTCCAAGCATGCCACACATGGAACGCACCACTCCTTGGCGAGCGCCACCAACTCGGACATTGAGACTTGACCGTTGCAGTCGTCATCGAGTGCCTTACATGGAAATGTGCCTTACATGGAAATGTGTAGCTCTGGCATCCTTGAATCAAATGCCTCGATCGTGACATCCAAGGAAGCTGAGCCACGAGAAAAAGCTGCCGACATGGTCCAACTTCTGCCTCCCCGAGCATGCAGGCAGTCCTTGCTTTTCCAACGGCAAATCAAATGTAATGGCAAATACAGACCTGTGTTCTAAGGTATAGCAAGGCTCATGTTCAAGCATGCTCGCTTGAACTTGTTCAACGACCGGTAATTCTTCAGACCCTCGATGTGCTTCTCTTCCTGACCAGTTGACGCAAACGCCATCTACGGTAGCTCCACAGGACAGATCTGGTACGCTGCACGAAAGAAAGTAGGCTAAGCTCCACGCAATTATTCCCACAGGCAGCTTCGGCGCAGTCTTGCTGAGAAAGTTGTGCGCCAGTGCCTGTTCAACTGCTGTATGCGCTTCCCCAATATGAAGGTGGCGATTGTCCGGAACTGGAAATTTGACGCCTGAGCACATCCTGGTCGCTGTGCGTGGTCTCTGTGAAGCATAGCGGACACCAAATTCACGACATCCTGCACTTCAAGGCAGGCTTGAAACAAGTTTCATAGAAGGCTTTGAAGCAAGTCCTGGCCAGCATTTACCCATGCCTGGGATTCAGAAAGTCTGAAGCTGATTCAGCTCTCCCACGAAGTCTCTGAGCTCTCACTTTTGACATAGGGCTATGCTTCAAGACAAGCGCTCAATGCACGTTTTGAAGTCAAACCAGTTCGTCTGAATTCAAGCAGTGCATAGGCGGAATAGGCAGACAATGCATTCACAAATCAGTCAAGTAGCACTAGATGAAAACTGAAGCCTTGCTTTGGCGTTTTCGTCTGACAGGCCGACCTGCGGCAGTATGTTCATGCACCAAAGCCGATAAGCAAGCAGAGTGACCAGTTGCCTCAGCAAATTTGGGACGCATGAAACATTACTCATGTCATTGTGTCTCGAAGCGGCGCCAGCCTGTCCAAAGGGCAAGCGGCGTGACCTCGACTGGTTTGAACATCTACCCTCTTCGCCCTTCACAGCGCAGATTGATTCTCTAACACATTCGCATCCGCACAAGGCCTTCCCAAGCCCGCATTTACTGCCAAAACCGGGCGTCGCTTGTTTTTGTTTCTTCTTTGTTTCTTTTTTTTCCGAGGGTACCCTTTTTGGGTTGATATTAAAGGAAAACAACAGAGGAGACACCATTTTGAGGGTGCCCGTATTTTTACGACACCCATGTTCACATCAAACACCCAGTGTGTACTATGCAGTTTTGCATATCAGCATAGTCAAGCGTCATGAGCCAGTAGAGCATGACTCCGACGCTCCACATGTCGCATGCCCTCAGGCAACCAGAGAATCAATCAAGGCAACAAACATCCGGCCATACTGTTTGGATACTGTGTCCACAATCCAGCGACAGCATCGTCACGCACAAGTAAAAACGCACTTCGGGCACACTGAGAATAGCACTCTGTATAGCTTTTGGCAAACACCTGCACTGGGCGACACAGTGTCTTCTGAGCAGCGCCCAAAACATGGTTCTAAAGGCTTAAATGAGCCTTGCCCTTGTTCCGATTTAGAACTACCTTCTAAAATCGGCAACGGAGGTTTGGTCGCTGCACAACTGAGTTTGACGGAAAGCCTGCATGAACAACTGAGCAACATTCATGGAAGGCACTCAAAGCAGCTCACCCGGCCTCTGGGGCCATGTGGCTGGGAGTTCCACACCTGATGCAATAGAGTCAAAAGGCAAAAGAACAGCATGAGCAGGACGGCCTTGCCTTTGTGACAATTTCTCGCCCTTTTTGAAAGGGCAGGATAGGCCATAGTCGCCTGAGCAAGCATCCCGGAGGCATCTGAATATGCGTGTTTGAGAAAGGCTTAGAATTCAGCCTCTTTCAACTGTCACTGCGTTGTATGGATTCTCAGTATGCAGGACGAGACACTGAGCTTCACTGCCTGTCTCTCATCAAGGCCGTGAGGAAGAAGCAACAGACAGTTTGGAGCTTTGATATCTCTGTGCACAATGCCCTTACCTGAGAAGCGCTCAAGGGGGTCTTGGGTCAAGCTTGCGTATGAAAAGGCTGTGCATCTGGCACGCACAGATTTAGATGCATCCCAGCAACCGTGCAAATAGCGCACTGCTGAGACAACGTGCTTGGTGGCAAGTGCTGCCTAACGCAAACGGAATTCCGGGGCGAAGCTCTTTTCTCCTTCTTCTGTTGCTTATTGTTGTTTGTCTTGTTCTTCTGATTCCGATTCTTGTTTCTTCTTCTCTTTCGAAGGCAGTGTCAACATCCAACGTTGGCCTCACTCCCAAACATCACGCACATTAAGCCCTACATTTTATCGCAACATCGCGTGTCCTCATCCAGGCGCCAAGGTCAAGACCAAGCGAAGCAAACTGACTTGCGAGGCTTCAAGCTAAACGCATTGCCGCGTGTAAATTAACGCAGGTGTTGCTAATTGCCGGCCGCGCCTACCTTCCTTCCCTGTTCAGGTTTTGCCTGAGTTCAAATTATTCACCCTGTCCCGTTCCATAAGGGCGCTGACTAACCCCAACGTATCACACTCCTTTCCAAGTTTTCCAAATATTATTCTTCCTGATTCGCAGGACACATCCTAAGTCACGCTGATCCTCACAGGAAAACCATCGCTTCCGCCAAATCTCAAGTAAATCAATCGCCAAAAACACCGTTTACATGGGCCCAGAAACAATTGTCCGGTAGTTCTATTGCTCTCACGCTGCTGTTGGTTGCCGGTTGTCAGTTACCGTCGTCGTCGTCGTCGTCGTCGTCGTCGTCGTCGTCGCCGCCGCCGCCGCCGCCGCCGCCGCCGCGGCTGCTGCTGCTGCTGCTGCTGCTGCTGCTGTGGTAGTCGTAATGGTGGCCGTGGTAGTCGTAATGGTGGCCGTGGTTGTGGCCTTGGTCGTTGTGGTGGCGGTGTCGGTCGCGGTGGTGGCGGTGGCGGTGGCGGTGGCGGTGGCGGTGGCGCTGGCACTGGCACTGGTGCTGGTGCTGGTGCTGGTGCTGGTGCTGGTGCTGGTGCTGGTGCTGGTGCTGGTGCTGGTGCTGGTGGTTGTCGTCATTGGTATTATTCTTCTTCTTCGTCGTCGTCGTCTTCTTCTTCTACGTGTTCTTGTTCTTGTTTTTCTTTTTCTTGTTGTAGTGGTGCATTGGCTTTGGAGCAAATCTGACTGACTTACTGGACTCCTGACAGCATATTGTCATGCGTATATTCTGCCACGGCTTGCACAAGAAAACTCCAGAGCAGCGTTGGTTTTGTCCGGGTTGGTGCAGGGGTGGTCATCTTAGTTCCAGGTCGACGCCATAATTGTGGTGTCCTACACGCACCAGCGCGCAGGCACAACGCAAGTGACCACCCACCTCGCAGGCGCACACGCACGCTGACACGCGCAAGCGCACACACACACACACACACACGCACAGACACACAGACACACACACACACACACAGACACACACAGACACACACACAGACACACACAGACAAACACGCGCGCGCCTACACACACACACACACACACACACGCCCACGCCCACGCCCACGCCCATGCCCACGCCCACGCCCACGCCCACGCCCACGCCCACGCCCACGCCCACGCCCGCCCGCGCACGCACGCATGCGTGCGAGATGATATGCACCCAGGCACAGGGGCACAGAAACGACCAAACGAACAAACGCACAAACGCACAATCGCACAAACGCACAAGCGCAGCTTTAGAGGCTGATGAGGCTGTGCATTAGATTAAAAGTGGCCTGCCTCAAAATTAGCCCTCTGGAAAGTTCAAAACTCAAAAAAATAGACATCATACCTACTTGGTTGAGGTTGAATGCATGATCTGGCACAGACAACGCAGGAACCGACTGTCTCCCTTGTTTGCGAAGCTTTGTGCAACACGCGCAAGAATGCTGCAGTCCTACGCAAACATGCGGCCTCTGTCATACTCAGTGCAAGGTTCAGTGTGCTCCAAACTTGAGTGAATCAAGATCTGATGTCTTGCCGCGAGGGTCGACCTGAAAAAAACAATCTTCCAGTCAATCTTCGGTTGCTAGCCGCTGCTAGCCCTTGTATGAAGTCAGGCACTGAAATGATACCCAAAAAATGGACGCAACATGTGCACAGTTGCATCCTCTGAATACAGCCTTCTCCCTCTCTCTCTCTCTCTCTCTCTCTCTCCCTCTCTCTCTCTCTCTCTCTCCCTCTCTCTCTCTCTCTCTCTCTCTCTCTGTCCGTGTCTCAGTCTGATTTGATGTTGGCCGGTGCCTCGGGCTCCTTCAGACTCCCGTGCTTATCAACCTTAATGCGGCAATGCGGCACTGCGCCAATTCAAATGTTTCAGACATTTCGGAAGCTCCCGCAGTCTTGCAGCTTGCCAAGCTCCACGCATATGCTTCAAGTTCCCCGCCGCTGCACAACTCCAGCACCTGAAAAACTGCGCAAGGCAAAAGGCCGAAGGCCGAAGTGCCAGAGACAAACGATCAAGGCACGGAATCTGTGAATCAGATCCAGACTAGTCGGAATTCACGGGTTGCAGATTCTGATCGCACAAATCGGAAATCCGCCGACCCCTTGTCCGCAAGGGCGAGGCGCACGGGAAGGGTGGCTACACATCTCGAAGGATCAAAGCTTGGTATTCCGGCTATCCAAAATGATCTCCAGCTGTAGAAACACTTCCGATATGCTACGTGTTGCTAAATGCCATCCACGACCAGCGTAGCCTTCAAGCCATTGCCCCAGGTTAGTTGGGTCGAGATGGGTCGTAATCATCAGCTCATGCTGCTCATCATCATCATCATCATCCTCATCGTCATCGTCCTTACTTACATTATCATCATGGTGCTCGTCATCATCATCATTATCGTCATCGTCCTTATCTCTTGTTGATACACTTTTCGAGTTTCCCGCTAGATCCGGTTTGAGATGCAGAAGATGCGTAGCATTGGTAATGCAGAGGATGCTACGATGATAGTTATCATCACCGTCATCATCCTTATCACCATCCTCATGGTCATCATCATCACCCTTATCATCATCATCATCATGACAGTCCTCATCCTTATCATCACCCTCATCATCATCATGATGGTCAGTCATCATCACCCTTCATCATCATGATGGTTGTCATCATCTCTTTCTTTTCTACATTTCAATTGTGGCGTTAGGCACCATTGGTAATGCAGACGATGCTACGATGATAGTTATCATGACAGTCCTCATCCTTATCATCATTATCCTCACGATCATCATCATCTCTTATGCATTGGTAATGCAGAGGATGCTGCGATGATAGTTATCATCATCGTCGTCATCCTTATCATCCTCATGGTCATCATCATCACCCTGATCATCATCATAGTAGTCATTATCACCAGTGAGTGGCGGTGAAGGCGATGGGAAGAAGAAGAAGGAAATTGACAAGAAAAGGAAGTGAGACAAAGGCGCAGGACTTTTCATACTGATGCAATGGGCCAACACGGAAGCAGTCACCCGAAGGCTTTGGTGACTGCATCGCTTTTTCAGCCGCCTGAAGACAGTGGCATGGAGGGCATGGTGTAAGCCCGGTGGTACTAATTTGGGTTGTGTATCAACCAAAGAGTGCACGTTTTTGCGCTATCTGGTCATCGCAGTTTGAGCCGGTAGCCAGTAGTGCTATTGAAGCTCGGGGTGAAACTGTAGGGAGAAGGCATCTCTTCTCAGGCGGGGTGTTACAGTTTTCACGCCCAGACATAGCCATATGTATACATGTGGTAAGTGCTCTAGGCTGTGCTGTGAAAATAGAGCGCGAGCTTTCGGATCTCTCGGGCATTCGTTTCAAGATCCACAGGGGCCGGCGGCACAGGGCGGCAGCCCTTAAATATGATACAGTCTTGTTCCGAGAAGGATGCTGTTCAAACGACCGCCACGCACACCGCGCGACAATGTCTCAAACTAAGGAGTCTGCTAAGGAAAGCGTATCTGAATCTTCAAATATTTCGAAAAGAGTGACCACATTCGGGTGATCCAACCTTGCAGCGCACTTGCTTTGGAATGCTGTCTGTCCATCGGTCATGCAATCCTCAACTGTCTGAAATCGGCCGAATGAGACAAGCAGTGTTCTCGATCCGCATTGGTCAAGCGCTGCTGGGCGGCATCTTCATGACTTCGATCCTTACATGCAGGCACCAAAAAAAGGGCGAAGGGAGAATGCGACACGTCTTTGTTACTCCGGCCGTCCCTTGCTGATTTGGTCAAGCTTCTCTGCCTTCAGCAAGCCAGGGTTGTTCTTGTCCTGAGCCAAGGTAGCGTTCTCTGTCTCGCAGCTTCAACGGGAAATTGCCGCCAAGATGCAGACTTGGAAATGATTTTCACGGCTCGCTTTGCACCGGTGACTCTGACTGTGGCCCGACGGACTTCCTGATGTTCGCACAACAGCCCTCTCTCCAGTGTGATGCAGGGGCTCTGACTGCAAATCCACCCTTGCCCAGCGCCGTAGATTCCAACTCGTAGTTGTCCTGTAAGTTGCCTGCAACTTTGAAGCAACGAATTGCAGTAGTACTGCAATCAAATGGCGTTCTGATGCTTGGACCATCCTTGATGTGTTACTCCATGCCTGTTTCCTGGTTAATAGTAGTTGAGGTGTCTGCATTGATCAACTGCTTCTTTTATGACAAGAAAATGTCATGTTCATCTCCAACGCATTCTCTGCCTCTGTTGTCCGGAACGACGAGGAGAGCTGCCGAAGGTACAAAACCCATCCTTGTCGAAGCAGCACCAAGAAATAGCATTCCGGGTGAAGCCCTGTTTGACCCTTCACCTGGGTGCAGATGAGTGTCGTATCAGTCATCTTCAATTTCTTGAAATGCCTGCGGCCCTTGCGTCTGCCTAGGATGGTGCCGCTCCGGTGACTTGCATGTCGAATCAAAGCGAAAACAGCTCCCGCGAATCATGCTGAGAGTCTAATGGTGTCCGCAGACACTCCAGATTTGGGACTGGTTTCGGAGCCAGCACCTCATGATCAGCCAGCAATGTGACTGGCGAGTGCACTACAAGTGAGCGCCGCTTCGAAAGAGACCGAGAGCCGAGTGCCGCGCGCCGTGCGCGTGCACGTGCGCGCGTGCGTGCAAGCGTGCGTGCAAGCGTGTGTGCGTTCTCTGTGTCTTATCTATCTATCATCTATCTATCGTCTATCTATCTGTCTATCAACACCTGTTCCTTTCTCTATCTCACGATCTATCATCCATTTTTCTATCTGCCTCTCTGCTCATCTATCTCCCTTTCTATCTACCCATTTCTCTATCTATCTGTCTATCCATCTTCTATCTACCTCCCTTTTGCTCTCTATCTCTCTATTTCTCTGACTGTCTATCTATCCGTCTCTCCTATCATTTGTCTCTATCCTATATCTCTCTATCTATCTCCCTACCTGGCTGTTTTCTCGTCTGTCTACCTTCATCTATACGCGATCTTGCGATGCCAGGCACAGCGCTTCCGCAAGGTTAGGTGCACATTTCAGCGCGTATTTCGCGGCAGGCGCAGTGCTTTTGCAGGGTCATCCGTAGATTCTGTCGCAGGCGCGACGCTTTTCAGGGTCACGCGCAGATGTCGTGGCAGGCGCAGCGCTCTCGCAAGGTCAAGCGCAGACTTCGCGGCAGGCGCAGCTCAGGTAGTGGCAGACGCAGCGCTTCGCAAGGTCAGGTGAAGATGTCGCGCCACGCAATCTGCAGCTCACCTTGCAAAAGTGCGGCGCCTGCCACGCGATTGCAACCTTGCGAAACCTTCGCGTTGCCGAGAAAATGGGCCGAAGCCGCGCCGCACAGAGACCGTGCCAGACAGGCATCGAGACGTGACATCGACACCGGACCCACCATAACGCTTCTATTCCCCCCACCACATGCCCACACACGCTTTCTCGCACGCATTCACTCTTTCTTCATCTTAGCTGCGCGAAAGATATCTGCATACGCTGTCTTTTCGCGTTGGCCATCTGGTCATCTGTAAGCTATCTACAAGAGCTATCTTTTTGCATGCGCTGTCTGATCTTCTGAAGCTATCTATCTGCACAAGCTACCTTTCAACCAGTTTCTACGCTACGGAAGCGTCTTCTAAACTTCCTTTGGCAATGTATGATGTAGGTTCGCATGTGCGTCTGAGTATGCATCTGTGTGTGTGTGCTAGAGCGTGCTCCTGCTCTCCCTTTTTCAAGGCAGACCAGCTGCGTCTGCACGTGCGCAAGCACGCCTCCCTCTGCACCTGCGCCTGCGCACATGCGCGCACGTGCGTGCGTGCATGCTTGCTTGCATGCGTGCATGCGGGCAAACGTGTTTGTGCGGTTGCGCTTGTGTGTTTGTGCGTTGGGGCGTTCGCACGATTGTGTGTTTGTGCTTGTCTGTGTGTGTGCGTGTGCGTGTCTGTGTCGGTGTGTGGTGTGTGTACGTCTGTGTGGTGTTTCTGCGGGCGGGTGGGCGAACGGCAAACGGACGGGAAGTGTGTTTGTCCGTATTGCGCATGTGTCTGTGTGTTGGTGCGCGTCTGTCTGTGTGGCTGTGTGCATGTGCGTGTGTGTGTCTGTGCGTCCCTCTGTGTTCGCAAGTTTGCATGTTTGCAGGTTTGGGTGTTTGCCGGCCTTTTTTCTGCTCACGTACTTGCGCGCTCATGCGCTTGTTTGCCTTCATGCTTGCCGGTTGCGGGTTTAGGGGGCTTGCGGGTGCGCGGGCGTGCTTGCATGTCAGGGTTGTATGTTATTGTGCCTGTGAAATGTTCCAGGCAAACTTGCAGAAGCAGGCACACAAGAGACATGACCATGTGGAGCTTTGCAAGGATCAGCCTTTCGGGAGACGTTGCAGGCCGTCAAGGCCACTATGGAAAGCCTTCTCGCACAACCGTTCGTTGTATTGCGTGTGTGCGTGCTTGTGTTGTGCGTGTGCGTGTCTGTTTCCTCAAAGACTAGAATTTCAGACTTGCACGGGATTGGAAAGCTGCACACATGCAGCACACTCTCAGGTACGGGCTTGAATTGCAGGCGCTTGTATCACCATAGTTGCTTGCGCTGTCGCCGTCGCCGTCCACAAGGTCAGCAAGATCACCAACATCGCTGCAGCTTACCTGGCTCGCCTGGTAAGGAAACAATCAAAACCAGGCCGCACATGGCATACAAACCAGAAGAACCGCCAAGTCATACCTCGTCGTCATCCTTCGCTTGCTTCACTCCGTTGTCTTCACCATCGCTTGCATCATTGTTTGCGATGGCCTCTGGTCAAAAAGACCAAAGTGCTGCAACACTGCAAAGTTTGCAGCCTTGCCTGCTGGGCAGATGGCGAGAGTCCCTCAGGGATCACTAAAGGCAGTCAACCCTGCCATGAACAAGCGCGACGTCGAAATGAGTTTCACTGCGTCTACATATGTACATATGGCGCAGCGTCCCTGAAACCCCGCCCTCATGGTCATAGATCATACAGGTGCCCCCCTCCCCTGTGGTGCTGTGATCCTGCGGTTGGATTGTGGGCAGGATTGGTTTAGGATGGGTCTGGGGTTGATAGGGTTGGTTTAGGTTTGGTTCAGGGTTATTTTAGGGTTGGCTTCGGGTTGGTTTGTGGTGTTACGGGTGGTTTAGAATTGGATTCGGGCTGGCTTTAGGATTGTTCAACACCCCCCCCCCCCCTGTGGTCCCGTGGTTGGGTTGTGGTGTCCAGTTGGTTTAGGGTTGGTTTAGGGTTGGTTTAGGGTTGGTTTAGGGTTGGTTGAGGGTAGGGTTGGTTGAGGGTTGGACTGCTCGGCGGCGGGAGTGGCAGGCTGCTTGATGGTTTGGGCGGCAGGACACCGGGAGGGGCCCCTGGGACAAACATACCATCCGGGGTGGAGGCAGGGTACCATGTGTATGTCTATATTTACGGTAGCCAGCCGCCAACCTACGACATCCATGCATACTTGCATCTCACTACATCACACACATCACATCATATCACGTCGAATCAGAGTCAGATCAAGCCGCACCACAACACATCACATTGCCAGACAGTGCAATAGATCTTTACTGCATGCGTTACATACATCACATTAGCTTACATTGCAATACGTTACATTACATTACCTCCAAACCTTACATTCCAATGCCATACAAGTGTTGCATAGTTACATTACACTGTGTTGTATTGCACTACAATACACTACATCATTACGTTGCGCTAGAACAACTCAATTCATTGCATACAGTACATGCGTGCACGAAATACATAACATCATGCCATGGCTATGCAAAACATAGTACATGTATATACGTTGACGTTACATTACATTACAGTATACTACATCACATTTATTTGCATTGTGTTGCATTGCACTACAGTACATTCCATGCATGAATCGTACATTACATACATTAGCTTCGAGACATACATCATGAATAAATGAACGCCGTACAACATTACATTCATACAACACATACGTACATATACATACGTACATACATGTGCACATCCGCACATACGTGTATACGTACATTTGTACATTGGTACACACGTACACACACATGTTCTCCTACAAACGTACGTACGCGTAGGTAAATAATACATCATACATACTTTGCAAACACAACATACATAACATGCATATCAAATAGAAAGTACATGCAATACAAAACAATACATACATAATTTGCATTACATTGCATGAAATTAGCTTACTTTACAACACATTGCAATATGTGTTCAATGCATACATTAAATACACTGCATACACACCGTGCATACAATGTCATACTATGTATAGACTGTACGAAATTTTACCATATTACCATACATACATTACACAAGAGCAGAATATACAGTACATAATATATTACATGTCACTACGTTACGCCAATCAAATGTAGTGAAGCGTGATGTGATGTTCTGTACCAATGCAGTAGTGTAATGGTGCACTGCTGTATCAATGTAGTATTGCACTATTGTATTCATGTGTTGCATGCCTTGCATGTACTGTACGTGTTGCATGTATTGTATGTATTCTATGTATTGTATGCACAGTTGTATGTATGCTATGTGTTGTATGCACAGTTGTGTTGAGTTCATTGTATGTATTGTATTTCTTGCATGTGTTGCAACGTGTGTACTGCGTGCATTGTATGTATTGTACGTGTTGCATGTGCTGTATGTCTTTATGTATTTTATGTATTGTATATATTGTTGGTATTGTATGTACCGTGTGTAATTGATGTATGTAAGTAAGCAAGAAAGTACGTGACTAAGCAAGTAACGTAATCATATATGTATGCATGCATGTATGCATGTAGGTATGCATGTATGCATGCATGCATGTATGCATTTATGTGTGTATGCTGTGTGCACGCAATGTAAAGTAATGCCATGTGCATCGTGTGACGTGATGTGTGTCTGTCATATAAGTATGCGCGCAATGTAATGCAATGCAATGCAAGCAATCCACTGCAATACGATGTAATGTAATTTAATGCAATGTAGTGTCATTTTGGTACTGTGATGTGTTGGGATGTGATGTGATGTGATGTAGTGTAATGTACTGTCATACAATGTACCCCTGTATATCATGCACGTATGTACGTAGTGTCATGTAAGACTGCAATAATGCAATTTGATGTGAGGTGTGCGTGTGTGTGTATGTATGCATGCATGTATGTATGTATGTATGTATCGTATGTATGGTATGTATGGTATGTATCGTATGTATGGTATGTGTATATATCGTCTGTATCGTATGTATCGTATGCATCGTGTTGTCTTGCAAGGAAACGTAACCTAATACAATGTATTTCAACGGAATGTCATCTAGCATCATGCGATGCAATGCAATGTAATGTATGTATGGAACCTA